TATAATGCTTTTAGTGGACATATCGAGGAAATAGATAAAATCGGGAATCTTTGAAGGACATATAATATGAGAAAGGACTTTGCGCAACGTTTCAGGTTAGCTTTATAGTGCTTTTAGTGGACATATGGAGGAAACGGGCAAACTCGGAAACTCTTGAAAGGCACTTGACCTGGGATAGGACTTGTCATGACTTTTCAAGTTGGTGTTATAATGCTTTTAGTGGACATATCGAGGAAACGTATAAAATCGGGAATCTTTGAAGGAAATAAAACATGAGATAGGACTTGTCATGACTTTTCAGGTTAGCTTTATAGTGCTTTTAGTGGACATACGGAGGAAACGGACAAACTCGGAAATTCTTGACGGGCATTTGACCTGGGATAGGACTTGTCATGACTTTTCAAGTTGGCTTTATAACGCTTTTAGTGGACATATCGAGTAAACGGATAAAATCGGCAACCTTTGAAGGACATATAACATGAGATAGGACTTTGCGCAACGTTTCAGGTTTGCTTTATAGTGCTTTTAGTGGACATACGGAGGAAACGGACAAACTCGGAAATTCTTGAAGGGCACTTGACCTCGGATAGGACTTGTCATGCCTTTTCACGTTGGCTTTATAATGCTTTTAGTGGACATATCGAGGAAGCGGATAAAATCGGGAACCTTTAAAGGACATATAACATGAGATAGGACTTGTCATGACTTTTCATATTAGCTTTATAGTGCTTTTAGTGGACATACGGAGGAAACGGACAAAATACGAAACTCTTGAAGGGCACCTGACCTGGGATAGGACTTGTCATGACTTTTCAGGTTGGCTTTATAATGCTTTTAATGGACATATCGAGGAAATAGATAAAATCGGGAACCTTTGAAGGACATATAACATGAGATAGGACTTTGCGCAACGTTTCAGATTAGTTTTATAATGCGTTTAATGGACATATGGAGGAAACGGACAAAATCGGGAACCCTTGAAGGACATAGAACATAAGATAGGACTTTGCGCAACGTTTCAGGTTAGCTCGATAGCGCTTTTAGTTGACATATGGAGGAAACGGACAAAATCGGAAATTCTTGAAGCGCACTTGACTTGGGATAAGATTTGTCATGACTTTTCAGATTGGCTTTATAATGCTTTTAGTGGACATACGGAGGAAACGGACAAAAAACGAAACTCTTGAAGGGCACTTGACCTGGGATAAGGATAGGATTTGTTATGACTTTTCAGGTTGGCTTTATAATGTTTTTAGTGGACATACGGAGCAAACGGACAAAATCGGAAACTCTTAAAGGGCACTTGACCTGGGATACGACTTATCATGACTTTTCAGGTTAGCTTTATAATGCTTGTAGTGGACATATCAAGGAAACGGATACAATCGGGAACCTTTGAAGGACTTGTAATATGAGATAGGACTTTGCGCAAGATGCCATGCGACCAACTCTTGCAGATCCTATCTCATGTGGCCAGCCAACCTCCAGCGAGCTTAGTGTAAAGATCCGAGTGAATGTTCCAATGTAGACATATTTAGACATAGTTTGGGCTCTGAAGTGGCCCCAGACCACATGAGATAGGAAAGTTTACGGATACGTTTTTTTCAATGTTTTGGGCACATGAGATATGCCAACCTCAACCTGTGGGTGCGTTTCACTACCCTCATTTCATCTCCAAGTCGTATATTATTTATTATTTGCCGTTTGCCCTATATTCCTTGTTGTTTAGTGTTGTTGTTGCTTGTTGTTTAGTGCTAATTAGTGTTGTTGTCTACGATATTATATTATTATCAATATTTCAAAAAAAAATATCCTATCCTTTGCATATATAATTTTATAAAATCCTTATTATTGTTATTAAAGGTAATAAATCAATTATATTTTGAAATTAAATTTGTTGCAAATCGTTAAATTCCCAATTCACTCCTATATACTAAATAATATCTATATTTCAGAGGGGAGGGAACGAAAATCAATCTCTGGCTTAGGGGGTACTTTTAGGGTAGGTATGCTGTCGCAGCTGCCCCGGATAACAACGCATAACCGTTATTATCTTCAAATTCTCATCCAAGGAGCTTCCTTCCAATCGTTCGTACTCGCCGACCAGCTTCTCGTACTTCATGATCCCCTCCAGGATCTTACCCTTCTCGAATTCAAGATCTTGCCCTTCTCGAATTGCGAAAAGGCCACCAATGCCTAGACGATTCCAAACCTCTTTGCCTTAGAAAACCCTTACCAGGCTCGAAAACCATCAGTGTCCGTAACACTCCGGACGATCCGAACTAGTCGCCCCTCACAAAGCTGACCAAATATACATACAATTTCTTTGCTCTCTTCTGAATTTCCTCCTTATAGTCGTTCAACTTCAGGTCCTGCTCCAAGTCCTTCTCCACGTGTTCCAAGTCGTCCATGGATTCCTCCTCAGTAAAGGCCAAGTAGCTCTCGAAGAGGAACGACCATTCAGGCCATGCGGATCGCTCCCCACCGACAAGTGCTAGAAACCATTAATCAAGGTCCTAAAATCAACCTTGTTATTGTCCCTTTTTCTTTCCTTCTTGCCAAGCTTCTAGAGAGTCTAAGCATAAATTCGCGTAAATCCATAGAATTCAATCACAACTTACTCCATCTTCTTAAGGCTTCAACCTCCTCTACCACCAGGTAGAAGTAGCCACTAATACAGATTGTTCTACCACCAACTACGCTACTATGAAGCTGCCAGTTATTCTACCCACCAGCTACGCTATTATAATACTACCAGCTAATCTACCCACCAATTATTATGGCTCGTAAATAAGGCTAAAGATCGGATCCTATCCTCTTCAAATGGGATTAAGTCCTATCCCTAGAGCTCCCCTAAAACTAATTAAAATCAAAATCCTAGCTCCGCTACCATCTAACACTTCCCACTCTTTTCTCTTAAGCGGTTGCGGCCTATAAAGACCAAGTATTATCATTTCGACATGTAACTTATACATAAAGATACTAGAGTAAACATTTCATGTGAAAAGTGTTACATAAATAAATATAAAATCGTAATATCATTTATCATATCAATATAATTCTCCAATTTATCAAATTAAATAAAATAGAAATATAATCCTCGATCATAATCCATATTCAAAAAGAATATAATCATAAAAAGATATAATATAGATAAAAATATGAATCCATTCGTATTAATTCTCTCTCTCTCTTTCCTCTCTTTCTTATTCTCGCTCATTTACACCCACTCACTCACAATCACTAACACTCACTCTCTCGTTTGGGCCTCATCATATTTATTTTATCGTATCGAATTTCCGACAGGACGTGTGCAATGGGCCGAAGGGTTACCATTTCTTAAAATGTTATAGAGATTCTTAATAATGTATATATATATATATATAGATCCGTTGTTTGAAGGAAAAATATATATATATCTAAATAAATTTAAATGTATGTTTACTTGAATAAATTCAACATTGATTGTAATCTCAAAAATTGTTAAATTTATATATTTTTGTCGTTCCGGATTTGAAAATAGCGAAAATTGTTTTGATGAAATCCGGAAATCGAAAATCAAGTTATTTCTTGATGGCTCGCATCATCCCATAAACCATGAGCCCATCAACCATTGATTTGTGGTACTTTTCGAGCGTGTATACCTGACAGTTCGTTCAAAGAAATACAGTATCAAACCGTGGATGGAGTTCATGGCTCCTAACAGAAATTCGATGTTGTGGCAGCAGCACACCTCCCGAAGAAAGCCGATGAAAGCAGCTGGCTTCCTCAATTGTGCCCACTGAATGGCTTGTTCTGTCTGATTCTCACCGATCCCTGGTTGGCCACTGCCCGTCCTCAAAGTAACCTTTATCCAGTACCAAGGTGACCACACGCCGACCTTGATGGTGCGAGGTTGAAAGCAGCTTGCTGCTTTCAATTTTCACTCGTCTCCCTCAAACTAGCATTGTATTGCTTGATCATGCGACAGGGAGTGTCATGTTTGAAATTGATATTCTTGGGGCATCTGCCCACACTGAGTGTCGCCAAGATGGCAAGGTCTGATCGGTCCAGTCTGCGGTTTCAACCTGCCATCGTTCGGCTCGCAGTTGTCCGACGTTCGCGACTCGGCAGCTCGAGATCAAGTGCCTTCTCCAGCAACTCAGTGCCCTCAAGATACTCCTCGACAAATACAAAGCTTCAAAGCTTGGGCATTCATGCTGTGAAGGAAATCGTTGCAGCTCTCCTTGTACTTGCTGAGGGAAATGAAGAAGGGATGTGACCACTCCTCGGAATACAACCATGCTACCGTGCCGCAGAACCTGTCGTGGTGTCAAAACCTGAAGGTTGTCTTGAATGCTGGGGTTACTCGGTACCCTCAGCTCCTGCAAATCAGTCTTGCATATATCCGACATGATCAAAGTCAAGCACAGTACTTCTTGCTTAGGTCGTTTTGTGCCCACCTGGTGTTAATTCAGTGATTTCTATTCTTGGAGCTGGAAAAAGAGTCCAATTGGATCCGGGAGTCGGCATAGAGGAAGTTCAGCGTTTTGCGCTCTTCTGCTGTAAATATTGGCACCTCGGAGACTCGCCCTATGGGGTTTGCTGACGTTTGGCATCTTGGCATATTTATCGTACGCCGCTTCTTGCATACATAGCTTGGCACATATTTTCAGAGCTTGATACTGATCATAGATGGAGTCTCTAAGGTATCTTGAGCGCACCTGAGGCTCTCTAGACTTTTGATGTATGCATGTCACACATTCAAGCTCTGCTGCACCTCTGCCTGCCTGCACAGGTTTGTATGTTCACACATGTTTGACATCAGTCCTGGCTAAACAAGCACTGATGTACAGTGCTTGGAAGCTGCTCTCCAGCAGCTCTCTACCCTAGTTTTCTTCGCAGCTTGGATCCCTGCTGGATCTCGCTCACACCAAGTCGCCACAACCAGGTTTCCTGGAGCACAAACTGGCCAGAATGAAACAATGCAAACTAAAACCCTTGCGAAATGCAAAGAAAATGCCTAAACACAAAAAACTATAGGTACAAAGAAAAACACACAAAATGCCCAGAGCTTGTGCATGGCTCCTTTGGGCTTCAGAACCCTGGACATCTCTTCGACATACCTCCACAGTGAAGAATTTAGCGAGGCACAGTGGCGCACGCACCCCACATCATCTGGGGTTGGCTCAAAATATTTGGCCTGCAACCACACTGTCTGGTATTATTTCTTTCACTGCCAGTGGGGAACACTATGAGCTTTTGGGATCCAGCACCACTTTTGAGCCACACACAAAGGCAGTCCAGCACCTCTTCTTGTCAGGCATGTGCTCTCCAGACTCGCAACCCCAAACTAGGTCGAAGGTGTTGCTTTCAAACCTCGGCGCTGATGATTCAGATTGCTTGAAAGGCTTTAAAGAGTCAAACAACAGGTTTTGACAGGAGATACAACGTGCAAAGCTGCAAGTTCTTTTCCAAACGTGTTGCTTCAAGCTTCTTCAACAGCAAATAATTTAAACAAAATATTCAAAGATTCCATATGATCTTCAAAGCCTTGGTGCCATGACCCCGCTTTTGCCCCCTTTCAGATCCCAGCTCCATATTCAATGCATCCATGACCTGGAAGCGCACGTTGGACAAGCCGGCTTCCTCTGCGAGGCGGCCAGCTCTCTGCGCCTGGCGTGGCACTAATCCATGGTCAGGTGAAGCCTCTTACAGTAAGTCCCTAGATGAGCCATGGTCAAAATTCATAAGTTGTTTCCCAGAGAAAAACAAAAATGCACTTTGGGTGAGAAACCACAAAGGTTTGGTAAGTGTACCCATGCAGATCTCCCGGTATCTCAACAAAATCCCCCAAAATCAGAGGGATCCACCGGAGCACAGCGCAGGCCGGGAAAGCGCGTGGCCTGCTCGGGTGAAAGCGTGATACCGATCACCTCGGCATTGGGAAAGCGCTTGCCAAGGATCCTCAGACAGGATGCAAAGCGAACAGAATACAGAACTGCGGAGATAGGTGGCATGATTTGCAAGGAGAAGTTGAAAAAAACTGGGCTTTTACAAGATCAGATTTGTATATATATATATATATTTGTACATATACATCTTGTTGTAACTTTAGGCATGGCAACACGCCTCGATGAGCCACCAATACCACAGCCTCAGGGTGCAGCAGCAATGTTGTTGTATCATGTTGTATCCCAAAACTGGAGAAAGATCTACTCTCGTCGTCCGAATATGGGTTCTGTGGCACAACAACAACCGGCAACACTAGACAGGCCCCAGCCAACATCCAGAATCTTCTTGGGATCTGTTGCACCTCAGATTCAGATCGAAGCACCAGAATGAGACATATATAATATATACTATTGTGGCATGGCTAGGGTATTATTCAGTCACTCCTTTTTGAGGTCATCTTAACACTGTCGAACAAGAACTTCTCAATTTTTTGGAAACAGGGGCAAAACCCATCCCAATCACGGTGTCCCTCCAGGCACTTTGCGCTCAAGAATCAGAAAGTACCTCTGTAACGACGAACCCTGTACTTCGATGTCTTGGTACTCAAAGTGAAAGTTTGGGAAAAGTGATTAAGAATACCTGCTTTGTTGCCTGTTCTTTCTACCCATTTCACTTGTGTATCACATAACAAAGGACCTCAGCCTCATTGCTCGTAGCACTGCCGTCGGTTTTGCCCTCGTGCTCGAGCCATGACATTGGGGAAGTTCGGAAATTATTTGCTTTCTTCACCACAGAAGTCAATGCACTGCTCCTTTCAGATCGTCCAGCGAATGTAGGAGTCCACGCATCACTTGGGCCACCTGAAGGCCGTCAAGCGGGTTTCCAGTTCCATATTGAAACACATTCATGACCAGCACTTGTACCATAACATGTTTAAGCTGCCATTGAGCAGCTCACTGCGACATCGTCACAGTGGCTCGGGCTTCCGCTTCCACTGAGCCAACACACCCGGAAGAACGAGGCTCCTTGTGGCCCCACTCGACCAGCTCTAAACATCCAACCAGGCGTTTTTCTGGCCGCACAACACGTGCGTCTGACTGCAGGCATGTACTCAACAAACAGAAACAGGGCGGAGTGATGTTGCACACCCACCAGCTGTGGTGGGAGCAACAGCTGTGGTGGGAGCATGAGGGAGCGCGCGGAATCCAGCTGCTCTAGCTGGGACTGCGTATTTACAAGCTAGATACACCAATATGATAGATAATGACAGATACGTGTTTCAGTCACGCAGCATCCATGAGTGGTGACCTGTTCAGCTTGTTGGATCTCGGCTTCTGCTGGCTCTTCTTGATGGTGTTCAACTTGTACTGAGGTCAAGTGGCTCTCAAGATTCCATGTAAGAGCTATCGTGGCCAGCGTACTGGCCTTGTACAAGTTGCGGATCATGCGGCGCGAAGGGAACCAGCCTGAGGTGTATTGCCTGCAGATCTGGCAACGATATCTACGGCCACTTTCAAGTGTCTGTGAGATCGCAAGGGGGGTGCACCCAGAAGTAGAAACTACACCAAACAGGGAAGACAAGGCAAAAGCCAACAGCGAAAGCTGTGTGTATCCTGCCGGGGTGTACAAGCAGCTTCATAAAATCGACCTCGAAAAGCTTTCGCTGCGTGTTTTCCTGCTTGAACAAAAGTGATGTCCGGTTTGGTGCGCCGCGCCTGAGAATTTGGCATCATCAAAGATTATCAAAGATTCACAAAGAATGTGAGTGGTGCGGTAGTCTGTTTGGCCATTTGCTACTTAACAGGTTCCAAACTATGAAGTTCTTGTGCTTTAGAGGAGGTAGTTACTTGGTTCGTGGACTCACATCTTCATGTTCCACCTTCCAGACTTGGCCACGAACTCGGGCCCAACCTAGGGGAACTAAGTCACTTCGTCGACGGCCAATCCGGTCTGTATCACCATGGCACGGCTAAAGTCGATCATGTCATGCACAAAGTCAATTTTTGCCTAGCACAGAGACAGAGTGTACGAAACTCAGCAGCCCAATGCAAGCATCTTGCTTTCTCATTCAATCCAGAATCAACAGTTGGGGAATCCTGAACATACACCAGAATTCCTGCATACTCTCACATCGGTATCAAGCTACCAAGTTCAATCTGTTCAGCAGGAGGTGTTGCAATCAGAATTCAACAAGGCGAACAGAGATGTCAAAAACAAGTGGTTTGGACCACTGCCTGCTTGAAGTTCTTCAAGCGTCCAACGGTGGCACGGAACAGGGCGATGAAAAAGGGATCCTCGCGGACGTGGCGACTGTGGAGCTAAGTGATCCTTGCTCCAACTGTGGAGCTAAGCACTGTGGTGCTTCTATCCACAACGTTCCATCTTGGTTGGAAACAAAAGTTGCCGTGGTACAATAGTACCGCTGTGACTGTGATGTTGCTTGTACAGTAGTAGTGCTCTCCAACCACGTGAAAAATATCTGAACCCAAACCTTCTTGCGATAACCACTTTGCTTGTCCATTGGATGGTAGGTGCCTCAGGCAAACAAATTGACGAAATGGGAAGCAAAGCCAACGGTGCCTCGCTACAGCGACTTTCGTTGTGTTGGTCTGCAAAGAATGAAACGCGTGGTGGGTGTCAAGAATTGACATCGCCTAGCTGGGCTACTGCACTGGCTGCAGTTTCTATCAATTGAGGCTGAGACCCATGTGGATGTGCTCTCCCCAGTAGTGTTCCAAAACCTTGGCTGAAGTCAAACAAACCACGGATCCATTGGAGCCAAGCTTTTTGAGCCAAACTTTGAGCCCATCACCCCATCTCGTGCCCACTCGTCATAGGCACTTTTCACCGAGCCCTCATCATATGGCCTCTTGGGTGTCTCGAACCTTGGGTTGGAGTGAGAAACAAAGGGCAAAGAAATACTCATCCCAAATATACACGTGAATCATCTTAGAAGGGCATTGAACATCAGTTCTTTCAGCGAGTTCTACCTATATATATATATATTATATATCTAGTTTGGAATCTCTCCAACGCACCTCGAAGGTCCTGCAGATTTCATGCGGGCAAAGCCGTTCCAATCCCTGCCCATCACTTCAGCAAAGTTGCCAGCGGTGTATTCTGGAGGCCAGCACCTGCAATATTCAACCAGTTTTCAGGGCCCTCACAATGTATTTCTTGCTCCACCAGCAGGATGCCCAGCAAGCAAGGAAATCTCCAAATCACGCGTGCCTTCAAAAGGCCCAGGGATGCCACACCAGCACCAATTTGAGCCAGCGCCATCGACTGCACCTGAAGAACAACTCCCACGCCTCCGCCACCCAGGCCCAGTTCCTCCTACGATGTATCCTCTTTAGGTCCTTGTTCATGTGTTTTGTTGAAAAAGGGCCGGACGCCACTGCGGGGAGTGCTCTCCTGAATTTGACACAGCAAGGGCTTCAAAGAAAAGTAATGAGTGTAGGAGTGTTTACAGAAAAGTTCAGGAAAGCATCTACAGGTTCTCAGAGTCAAGTGCAGCGAAGGTCGAGAAACTAAATCAAACTAAATCGAGCAAAATAGAGATTGCCAAGAAAGGTGCATCACATAGAGAGGAGATGTCAAAAAGAATGCAGCAATGTCTAAAGTCTAGATAGTAGGCAATGAGGAACAAGAGCAGAAGAGTCTAGAGGTAGATCACAGGTCACACTACATCACAGCATTAGGTTTCATCACATCATTTGCGTTCGTTTGCCACATTGCACTTCAATGAGTCATAAATCCCGACACACGTCCACACACCGGGTGTGGCTAGAATCAAAAGTTGGGAAGAGGCTAACTTTGGATTTGAGCCTTTTCTGAGGCTTGGCTGGTCCAGGCTTTTTTGTTTGGATTCACTTCCAAGTTGATACCCTGGTTGTGGAATGAGACTGTGCAAAGTATCGGCTCTAGTTTTGAGCTCGTCGATGTAAGATCCAAAACTAAAAGGGTCTTAAATGTGGAGTTATGCTCTTTTCTATCGTTCCGCCTTAATCCGTTTGGGCTCCGCCTTCACTTTGGCCCGGCTTTCAGCCAGAGGCGCTGTTGCTTCAAATTGATTGTTGCCAACGTGGCATATTACAATTTCTTTTCCCCAACCTTTTGGGGCAATGGTAGGGGGTGGGGTGAAACGACGTTCTGATTCAACTTCGGAATCTGAGAGGACACGTACTGGTGTCAAAAGGAGACAAGCTGCCGCTTGAAGGGTGAGTTCATCACCCCAAGTCGAGGGCCTGCTCATGTTTTGCAGGTAAGCCTAGTGACCTAGTGCATGCCAAAGAAATCGTACCAAGCCGCAGACAAAAGACAAAAGCAGGTCCACATGTCCAGCACATTTTTTCTGCCAGAGTGAAATCTGAAGTCAAGTTGAGCAACATAAATGTTTATGGACAAATTAGAGTGAAGCTGACCAAATGACAACGACCAAAGCAATAAAATCTGAAGCGAGGCCGCACAAACAATTCTTTGCGCCCTATTGAATCTGCAGTGAAGCCGCTGAAAGACTTAGAGGAAACCAAAGAGTTACCTTCAGAGTCAAGTCACAGCAAACATGTGAACATGTGGAAAAAGTTAATGAACTCCAGATCTGAGATGGACATGAACAAACAATGAATAGAGGTGAGATCAAATGCGTTCTTTTTCGCCTTCACCTCTTTACACCATGCTCAACTCTTGAGTCAACAGAGTTTTTCGCCAGAAGGTATCTGTCTCAACCATCGTGTCAGATTAAAGGCTTGGAGTTGACTCATTGGTAACTCTTGTTTCCAGCTTGATTGTCTGATTGTCCACACATCACCACATAAGCAAGAGTCACATTTGACCACCGCAGAAATCATTTCCCTCGCATCGCTTCATCACACTGCACGTCACTGTTCTACTACAGGTCTGCCAAGTTATTAGGCGGAAAAAAGATCGTAGTCTTGTCGGCCCTCCAGGGTTCGCAGGCGAAGAAGACGTGACTCTGTTTGCTCTTCAGCAGGTCCCACCCGAAACGATGTTCAAAACTTGTAGCGGTCACTGAACACTTCTGATGTTCATACGAATTCAATGTATGACTTGTATAGCTTTGGCAGATGTGGGAACTTCCCAAAAGAACAGGACCAAGGAGGTCGAAACGCCATGGTTTGCAGGGGGTATCTAGTTGTCACACCCATTTGCCCTGTCCTTGCAAGCCTTGCCATGAGCAAGTTCACCTCAATGGCAATGACAGTCGGACAAGGGCACATGGCAGTCTGCAACCACATCTTCATGAACATCATCAGCACAGATTGCCAGTAATTTCAAAGACTTCTATCAATCATGATTCAGGAGTCAGGATGCTAGAACAATCCGCCGGCCTGCCGGCGTGTTTTGTGGATTGTTTTGGTTAGTATTGCTTGTGTTGGCTTCAACCTACGGTTTGTATCTCCGCGCGGATTTTTCGACAGCCTGACCGGCCTGACGCCCCCCCCCCCCCCCCCCCCTCCACCCCCCCCTCTCTACGTCTAAGGTGATTGGACTGAGACATGTCGATCGCTGGATCAGAATAGACAACCATTGGACTGAGACATGTCCATCGCTGGATCAGAATAGACAACCTCTGATTCGGATTCGTTCGATTTCATTGTAAAACGACTTCGCTTGAAATCAACATCAACAAACTCTCCCAGCAAAATGTGCCACTCCAATGCACCCACAAGTCTGATTGAGCAGGGTATTGTTGTTCGATGTCATTCTGGGTCTTTCATTTCAAACGGTTTGGAGAAAAAAACGACAAATCATGCCAGATCTAGAAATTCTTCGGTCGCTTTGA